TTCTTGTGATTGCATATTGCGTGCCATAACCCCCAATCCCCTGAGGACGACATTTCACACACATACACTCACCATCACTCATTTTTGCTACAACCAAAATTGGAGCCGTTGCCGGGGATTGGCAATTTGGTGGTTCTATGTGATTGCTTGTTTTACTAGCATTGGAGTTTAGGGAATCTTATGAGACTAAGCTTTTTCTTTCTTTTAATTTTGTTTGTTTTTATTGTTCAAAGAGCTAATTGTCTTACCTTGATTGAGATTTGGTTGAAGGATCTTTTCTTTGTGCATTCACTCTTAATTGAAAAGTAAGAGTTTTCACCACTCAATCAAGAACTTTGAATTATGGATGGGTATGATTTCCAAGAGCAAAGAATGTCATTGCCCGATTTCATCAAAATGGGTATAAAGACCTTTCAAGGTGGTCCACTTCAATCATTCCTTTCTTATTCTAAGTGGTGTTCCTATTGTTGTGAAGCTCATGCATTGGAGAGTTGTTACAAGTTAAACTCCACAAGTCCAACACCACCTCAAGATTGTGAACCTTTCCCTCAAGAGTGTGGTGTCAATATGAGTCAAGAAGTTCCTTAAGAAAACACGTTTCAAGCTTTGGAGCCACAATATCCATGGTGTGCTATATGTGGTGGTTCTCATTCTTTGGAAAGTTGCCATATTTTGACTCCCACTTATCAAGTGCCTCATAAAGATGATCAACAACAAGCTTTGGAATGTAATGTCAATGTCAATGAAGAAGCTTTTCAAGGAGGTACACCACCAATGTTCATGCCACAACCTCTTTGGTGTGCCATATGTGGAGGACCACATGAAGCTGAAGGATGCTACATCTTTGATCCTAATTTCCAATATCAAGGCCAAGTTCAAGAACCTCCACATCAAGAACATCAACAAGAATATCAAGACCAATTTCAAGAAGTCCCTTACCAAGAACCTCAACTAGAATGTCAACCATTTGATCAAGAGTCTGAGATGAAGTCCATGATGGCCAATATGCTTATGCAAATGAATGAGCTACAAGTTCAACTAGACAACATGATGGCTCAGAGACAAGGTTTGGCAACTCAAGAACCCATTAAAGATTCATCTTCCAATGAAGAGGTTCTACAAGAGTTGCTCTTGCAAAATGAAAGTCATGTGGTTGATGGAAATGAAAAGGAGGGTGAGGACCTTGAAGATAAAAATGAAGATGAAGATGATGAGGTTTATGATGAGTGCATTGAGATGGAGACACCAAGTTGGGGAGAGAGTATAGAGTTGCAAGGGAATGGTGATAAGGAGCAACTTGGAGATGGTCCAAGTGAAGAAGTGCTCAAGAATGACGAAATTGATGAAGTTTGTGGCACACATGAGGAATGCCCTTCAATGGATGACACTCCCTTGGGTGAGAACTTTAGAATAACTTGGGAACCGGGAGGTGTTCTTGAGAGTTTTGGACCAAATTGGCCAATATTTGAATCAAAGGATTGCCACTTCTTATTGGTGCATGAGAAAGACCCAAGATTCCCCTTACTTGCCAATGAAAAGGAAAGTCAAGAAGAGAAAAGAAGTGGAGACCAAGGAAATGATCAAGCTCATGGATATTATCTAGATCCAAAGTTTAGAAAGAAATCATTGATTGACTTATGGATTAAAAATGGGTTTGAGGAAAGAGTAAGATTGAATTTTGAGTTCAAGGAACATCAATGCTTAAGCTTTGAAGTGGTGATGTTGAGCTTAAGGGAGCATATTGATGGCCACCACTTGAAGTGCTATTTGGAAGAAAATGTTGAAGGAAAAGAGATGATGATTGAAGAAGAGAGCATATTCTTGGAAGTGGATCATTGCAATTTCTTTGAGAAGAATATGTTACTTTTGAGCTTAAAGGAGTTCCTTAATGCCCGGCATTTAAGGACATTTATTGAAGAGAAAGTGGATTGAGAAAAGAAACTTATCTTCATCCAATCATGCATGGATAGTTCCTTGAGAGGTTGAGTCGAGCTAGCGACGTTAAATTTAGCGCTTCATGGGAGGCACCCCATGTTATCTTTCATTTTATTGCACTTTACTTTCCTTTTTATTTTTCTTTACACTTTAATTTTTAATATATCATGCTTTCACTTGTGCTTTCATGTCTATATGCTCTTGACTCTAGGAATGACACTAAGGAGTATGCTCATTTCCAAGAAGGCTTCATGATGATTCTTTGACACAAGAGATTCATTAGGGGAGTCTCATCTACCTTCTCTACTTTCTTTAATTGTGTATAGTGCTTTACTTGGTGTAGATAGTAGAGATTGTGCTCCTTGTGCTTATTGTGCCACCCTTTTCCCCCCTTGTGCTTTGTTTTCTTTCACATCGAGGACGATGTAGCCTTTAAGTGTGGGGGAGAGGATAATTTGGGTGTTTTCTAAAAAAAAAAATTGAAAAATTGATTTTTTTTTGAAACTTTGCTTGGATGACTCATTGTGCATAGTGTTTGGTAAATTGACTTTTCTTGCTTGAAGTTGTGATTACTCCCTCTTTGTTGGTTTGTGGTTTGTTTTGGTGGAACTTGTTGCAATTCAACTTGTGATTGATGAGCCAAGGGGTAATACATGATTGATCTATTCTCTTGCCAATAACCTTGTTAACCACTTAATAATTGAATCAATTCTTGATCTTGTGTGTTATGCATTGCTAATGAAGGCTTATGTGAGATTCCGGTCATGGTTGTTTTGCTAGAACTTGCCTCATTACTCCTTGTGTGAAGTCTAAGGTTTGCGTGCTTAGAAATGATTTAGGCCATTTTTGTTTAGCCCGAGCCTTTCAAGCCTACCCTTTACACATGTGTTTACCCCTAGTTGTCCCCGTTGAGCCTTTTGTGTTTGTTTAATAAGTGCTAAGCACTTGTCCCTTCATTGTGATTGTTTTTCCTTGTGCTAACCCTCATCATTTAACCCTTAACCCCTAGCCAAAATGTTTCCCTCCACCCTTGAGAGAATAAAACATTTATTCTTTTTCTTTGAAGAGATCTTTATTGGAGCTTGTTTTGTTAGCAATCCTCTTGATAATTTTGTCTAAGTGTGGGGTATTGGTTCATGGAATAAGTTTGTTTATTGTCTTGAAAAAAGAAAAGAAGAAAAAAAGAATGATGAGAAAATTGAGAAAAAAAAGTCATGAAAAAGAGATGAAAAGAGAAAAAAAATGAAAAGAAAAGAAGAAGAATAAAAGTTTGAAGTTTGTTTTGAGAGTTGTACTCAACCCCCACCACTTTAGAGGTTTGTTTTGTACGTCCTTTAAGTCTTGTTTGCTCCTTAGTCCATAGTTGTCATATCTCTTCTAGCTCCGATTGTGAATGAATGTGAAGTTCTCTCCTTTGTTTATTTTCCTTACCCCTTCTTTGTTAACCTTTTACCCTTAGCCCCATTACAAGCCAAATAAAAGTCCTACTTGATCTTAGCATGCAATCATAGAGTTGAACTAGTGGGAGTATGAAGGGCAAGCCTATGGAATCTCATTCAAAGCCAAGTTTTGCATAGTCTCAACTTAGCATTTGTGCACACTTGATCCTCACGTACTTTAATAATTTTGGTGCTTGGTTATTGGCTTGAGAATTGAACTTGTGTGGAATGCTAAAATGATTCTTGAAACAAGTTGTGTTGTGGCAAGTTGGATTGTGGTTTGATAGGTTCTGCAAAGTGGGAGTGTGATCAATTTCATTGTAAGGATGGTAATTTATTTCTTGTCTTTGCTTGATGACAAGCAAATGTTTAAGTGTGGGGGAATTGATAAGTGTATTTTTGTCTATATTTTTGCCCCTTCTTGAACCCATTTTATTTGTGAATTGCCTAAACACTTGTGTGAATTGTGACTAATTTGTGTTGGTTTTATTTCAAGGTGCAATCATTCACAACAAGTGAGGAATTCAATGATTTGTGGGAAGATACGAGCAATTTTTGGATCAAGAGATAATCAAAGAGTTTGGAATGCATTTAGGAATTTTCAAGAGCCTCGTACCCCCTTGCGTATGCCCATCCCTCATCCCATCCGAGATCTGAAAAAGGAAGCAGGTGGCGTACGCCCTGCCGTACGCCCGTACGCCCATTCCAGTGAACACTACAATAAATGGTACTGCCTGCCGTACGCTTATCCCTGAGGGTGTCCCTCTGTGCTCTGTTCACTATTTAGGCGCGAATTCTCTCATTTCTACATGGTTTTGACTCTTGTTAGAACCCTAGACATTTCCTTTGACTTCATTTCATATTTTAGTGTTAGATTAGGCTTAGATTTAGGTTCTTTAACACATTTCAAGCTTGTAATCAAGGATTCAACACTTGGATTCCAAGATTTACCATCAATTTCTTAGTGAAGTTTTCTTTTCCTTATCTATTTCTTTTGCAAGATTTATATTTAATGCTTGTGTTCTTGTGTTCTTTATGCTATTTAATCATGAGTAGTTAGTTTATAGACTTGAGTTAGGGTTGTATTATCTATCTTGATGCTTGATTTGTGATTATTGCAAAAAGGGGAAGAACTCCAACCTAGGGTTCATGTGTTTGTGAAGGTTTTGTATTTATATCTTGTTAATGTTTGATGTACACATTCATTAGCTTGTTTTTGGAGAATTACTTGCCTCAACGAGAGTTGGGTGATGAATCCATGCCACCCCTTGCATAGACCCGATTTCTTCCTACGAAAATAGGGGAAATTGAGGGCTTTAGATTCTTTGTGTGCTTGATGGACTTGGAATTGATTCACCATGAAAGTGGGGCAATTCCTTGTTCTAATCCTTGTTTATTAATCATGAGAATGGTTTGTAGACTAGGATACCTACGTGCATTCCCGCTTGATTTCCTTGGTTACTTGTTCTCCCTAATCCCTTAGGTTGTTAAAGCATCTAGATGATAATGCTCCCTAGTTTGAGTCCTATTTCTTTATTTCGTGTTTACATCTTGTTAATATGTGTTTGTGTTACTTTGTTTAGTTACCGTAGCCTCAATCTCGTTATGATTTGCTTAGCTTCTTGTTGATTTCTTTATGCTAGTGCCTAGTTTCTTGTGATTGCATATTGCGTGCCATAACCCCCAATCCCCTGAGGACGACATTTCACACCCATACACTCACCATCACTCATTTTTGCTACAACCACTGGTTACTGAGGCGGACCTGGAGATGGCCCGTTTCCTTCTTGGCCCTTCGGCCACCGTACTTCCACCGGACGGCCGTCAATCTTTGACCCGCTGGAAGACTGCGTCAACATTCACCTGCACTCGGTGGCCTTTGGCTTTCGAGTGCCACCCCATCCCTTTCTTTCCCTTTTCTACCGCCACTATAACCTGGTTCTGGGTCAGCTCGTGCCTAACTCACACCGCCTTCTTGCCTGCTTCATCAATCTATGCCATTGGTGGCTCTGCGAGCCCGACCTAGATCTTTTTAGGTGCCTGTTCACAGTGAACAAGGTCGGCTCGTACTCCCCGGGCTTCATCCAAGAGTCTGCCCGACCTGGGCGTCAGTTGTTCGAGGGTCTTCCCTACTTCTTCTTCGTCCGCCCTTCTTTCTCAACCTTCACTTTCCCTACCTTATGGCCGGCTGCCCTCTTCAAACCCTGCTCCTGGCGCGCTGCCTTTACCCAGGACGCGATCCAGGGTGCCGAGTTCCTGAAGAGCTTTGGACCTTACTCTGTCAAGTACTGGTCTCGAGTTCGGGCTATGGCGAAACGGGGTCTTTTGCCAACCGGCGCGGCCACCACAGGTAGCCTTTCATGGCTTTCTTTTTCCTTAACTTTCTTGGCTGGTCCGACTGCTGACCCTTTAGTTTTTCCTTATGCAGGTCCGTACGATTCCGACTCCACCAGCTCGGACGAAGCCGAGGCCCGAACGCCTGCCATGGCCGACCGTGCTGAAAAGATGAGGCGCCGGCTGACGCAGCGGTCGTCTGGTGCACAAGCGGCTTCTTATTCACTTCCTTCTCTGGCTCCCCAGGCGACTCCATCTCCTCCACGAACTGTGGTGGACCTGACGCCGTCTCCCGTTGCTTCTCCTTCTCGCCTTCCGCCTCCGGCGCCTACGGAGAGTCCCAGCTCCAAGCGCCCATTGGAGCAGTCAGACGCGCCTCCTCCCAAGAAGATCCGATTGGGCTTAGAGCTCGAAGAGGATGCCCAGATTTGGGTGGGCAACTACTCGGTCCAAAATTGGGTCGAACATGTCCTCCTCCCTAAGGACTTGGAGGCGGCGAATAAGATGCAGGACGAGTATATCCTGGAAGCCTCTCTACGCCAGTCCTACTGAGTAAGTTCTTTGCCGGCCTCTTTTATTTTTCAATTCCTTCTAGATTTTCTTCTAACACTACCCCTTTTTTTCTTTTTTCTCAGAACCTCACTTTTCAGTTGGAGCTGAGGAAGCGGATACGGGCGCTCAAAGCTACCATGCACTACATCGCCACTCGTCTACGCCAGTCAGAGGAGGCTTGCCTGGAAGAACAGGCGGTTTATGCCAAGGCGAAGGAGGTTCATACCGCCGAGCTGCTGAGGGTCACCCGCCAATGGGAGACAAAGCGAGACAAGGCCATCGCCGCCGCTGTTGCTGAGTACAAGAACTCGGCTGCCTTTGAGGCGGACGTGAAGTCGGCAGTTGAGGGCCGTCGAGAGGCGCTGGCAAAGGAGTGGCTGGCGACTCCAGAAAGGGACGACTATCTGCTGGATCTGGGTGAGCGTGATTATCGCTTGGGCTATCGTGAAGCTCAGATGGAGATCCATGCCCTCCTCTTGGCCCGCGACTCGACCTTCACCCCGGAGAGCTGGGGCCTTAAGTCAGTGCTTGATCCTTTACCAACTGCTGAGGCACCTGTGGCGGCTGCTGATCCAGTGGCTCCTCCTGTGGCGAACCCGGTGGCTTTGACTGAACAGCCTCCTGCGGCGGAAGACTCCCTACCTGCTCCTCCAGCTGGAACATCGGCGGAAGGACAAGCAGAGGAAGTCGACGTCGACACCCCTTCCCCCGTAGTCTAGGGCTTTTTGTAATTTCTCCTTTTGTACAGGCTGGCCTCTCCTTCGGGCTTTTCAATTAATGGAAATTTCTTTTTGCTTACCGCTCCTCTTCATGTTTTCCTTTATGCAATCTATTCATGCCTTTCGACTGCTCTTGTTGAGCCCCTTCGTCCCACTGCTCCCGGTGCGTTTGTCCTTTTGGTTCGCCGAGTCCCTTAGCCGAGGCGACTTTTGTAGGTTTCTCATGGAAACGTCTAAGGGTCTGGGCCCTGACTTTCTATCTTTTCTCGCCGAGTCCCTCAGTCGAGGCGACTCCTATAAGCTTTTCCACGGAAGCGTCTAAGGGTCTGGGTCCTTGTTTCCAATCTTTTCTCGCCGAGTCCCTTAGTCGAGGCGACTCCTCTTGGCTTTTTCTCAGAAACGACTAAGGGTCTGGGCCCTTGTTTCCAATCTTTTCTCGCCGAGTCCCTCAGTCGAGGCGACTCCTCTTGGCTTTTTCTCGGAAACGACTAAGGGTCTGGGCCCTTGTTTCCAATCTTTTCTCGCCGAGTCCCTCAGTCGAGGCGACTCCTCTTGGCTTTTTCTCGGAAATGACTAAGGGTCTGGGCCCTTGTTTCCTATCTTTCTCAGAAACTGTTTTCCAGATGTGAAAAGTGACGGTACTTTATTCAAGGTTGAATTTTAGGTGAATACATAGGCTAACCTTTTGTCAACAGAACTTGAACTCATTGATAGAACTTCTTTAAGTGGATCACATTCCAGATCCTGTCGATGAGCTTCCCCTCCAATGTCTCCAGTTTATATGTGCTGGCTTGGACCACAGCGGCAATGCGATAAGGTCCTTCCCACTTGACCGCGAACTTTCCTCCTTCTGTGGGTTGGCTTGCCTGTCGATCTCGTAGCACGCGGTCGCCTATTTGAAAGGTTCGTGGGCGAATCCTCCGATCCCGATATCTTTTTTACGGCCTGCTGATATTCTGCCATCCGGGCATGTGCGGCTTCCCTTCGTTCCTCCAAGAAGTTCTTTTCAATCCTGAGGCTCTCCTCGTTTCCTTCATCTGAGTAATTGTGAACTCGGTGGGTAGGCTTGACGACTTCCACTGGAACTTTGGCCTCGATGCCATATGCTAGGGAGAACGGACTTTCACCGGTCGCCCGCCTCTGAGTGGTTCGGTAAGCCCATAGGACTCGGTCAAGCTCATCCGCCCAGTTTCCTCCAATGTCCTCCAGCTTTTTCCGGATTCCATCTACGATGGTACGATTTACATTCTCGACTTGCCCATTGGCCTGTGGGTAGGCGACGGACACCTTAGTGTGGCGTATACTATGCCGTTGGCAGAAATCGGCGAAGGGTTGGCAGTCGAACTGTCGACCGTTATCGCTGACCACATGCTCAGGTAATCCAAAGCTGCAGATTACTTTCTTCCACAAGAAGGGTCGACACTGGTACTCGGTGATAGTGTCTAGCGGTTCAGCCTCAACCCATTTGGTGAAGTAGTCGATGGCTACTATGCAGAACTTCAACCGCCCGGGGGCGACCGGTAGTGGTCCCAACAGGTCAATCCCCCATTTGGCGAACGGGATGGCCGTAGTAACCGGCGTGTAGAAAGTGGCTGGCCGAGTGTCCTTTCGAGCGAATGCTTGGCAGATCGCGCATTTGGCTATCCACTCGATGCAGTCCCTCATCATAGTAGGCCAATAGTATCCCTGAACGACTAGCTTCCGGGCGAGGGTGTGGGCGCCCTGGTGAGCTGCACAGATTCCATGATGGGCTTTGTCTATTATTTTCTCCGCCTCCGGTCTGAGTAAGCATCTGAGGAGGAGACCCCCAAACGACCGTTTGTATAGTTATCCATCGATAATTTCGAATGACGGAGCCTTGCGACGAACTCGGGCGGCGACTCCGGGGTCCTCTGGCAATTCCCCCTTTTCCTTGTACCGTCGAATATCTTCAACCCAGAACATTTCAGGGTTTTTCACCTGGTCCCATTCTCCAGTCGTTACTTGCTGAATCTCTAAAGTCGCTTCTTCTATGCTAGGTCGGACTAGTTCCTCCTTTTGGCAGATTTTAACGAGGTGGTCCGGCACACCTTCCAAAGCGATTTTCGACAGTATGTCGGCCTCTGTGTTGTTAGCTCGCGAGATGTACTCTATCTCGTAAGCGCCGAATCCCTTTAACAGTTCTACCGTTTTCTCCTTATACTAAACCATCCGAGTGTTCTTCGCTTCGCAAGTCCCGGACACTTGCCCGACTACTAAACGGGAATCGGTCTTGATTCGTAGGCGTCCCGCTCCCAGTGTCTTGGCAAGTCGTAGGCCGCCCAACACAGCTTCATACTCGGCCTCATTGTTAGATGTTGGGAACAGATAACTTAAAGCGTAATAAAGACTGAACCCTTCTGGGGTAATCATCATAACTCCACCGTCGTAATGTTGGCGGCTTGCTTCTCCATCTGCGTGCATCTCCCACCATTTGCCGGGACCATCTTCTATGATGTCGCCCTTGTCGCCTTCTCCGGCAGTGCATTCGACCAAGATGTCGGCCAAGGCCTGTCCCTTAATTGATGGGCGAGGCTGGGACGGTGTGGGCTTGGAAGTAGGGTGCCAGTTTGCGTACGGTGATTACCAAAGCGTAGACGATTTTCTCCAAGGGCGTGTATCGAGCTTCGGCTGCCTTCAAAGAACGACTCACGTAATATACCGGATGCTGGGCACGTTCCTCCTCCCGCCTTCAAGGACGCGGCTAGATATAAGAACAACGGCTCACCGACCTGGGGGGTAGACAGCACCGGAGGTGTAGAAAGATATCTTTTCAGCTCTTCGAACGATTGCTGGCACTCGGGTGTCCATACGAAGCCCTCCTTCTTCTTCATAGCCTCAAAAAAGGGCACAGTCTTGTCTGCCGACTTACTTAAAAAACGACTAAGGGCAGCCAGTCGACCAGTCAACCGCTGTAGGTCCTTAACAGTACTGGGAGGCTGCATGTCCATGATGGCCTGCACCTTCTCCGGGTTGGGCTCGATGCCTCTTTTGGTCGCCATATATCCCAAGAATTTCCCACCTTGCACGGCGAAAGCGCACTTCTTCGGGTTAAGCCGTAAATTATACTTAAGCATTACCTGAAAGCAATCGGCCAAGTCCCCAGCATGATTGATTTCCTCCC